TAGATGTTATACCAAAACACGTGCCATTGGAACATTGGAAAGGCGCTGTTCACATTAAACTATAACATGAAACATATATAAAGCTGATTATTATCCGTACTGTTCATATATTAAAGTGCAAATTTATACAGGATAGGAATTCAAGAGAATCTATAGACTTCTCTTYGTTGGGTTCATTATCGACCGATGTCGAAGCTTTAAAGAGTTGCCGAAGTCGACCCTAAGAAAACCGCTTGTAAAATCTGATTCTGCGAAGCATAAGCAAGGCAAGCCTTTTCGATCAGTTAATGTATCATGTCATAAAACTAGAGAATAWATTAAAGCTTGCATGTGTGCGAAAAGTATTGAAATTTGAGTACGTTTCCCTAAAGCCAAATTCAATGAAAATTGATGATACGAACATTGCAATTTCCATTGTCTTTCTCACCACCGCCTTAGTGTGAACTCTTCGAATAGTCATTCGAGAACTTTCGTCGTTTSTCGACATTAAATWGAGAGAGTTGGAGCAAGCCTCAATCATCTAAGGCTGCAAAATTATAACTTTATACRTCACATAAGCGCACGAATGTAATTACTTATAACAATTTATTGAACTCCAGGCTGCCWGATAACTAATTATTGCGTGCAGACAGCTATCTTTTCAATAAATGATTGTCTGCACAGAGACAAAATGAACATATCACGCTACGGTTTTAAAGATAAAACAAGCGTCAAGTGTAMAATGTGAATTTAKAACAAGAATATAAAAATATTTTTTACCACACCTGTGTTTTCTTTCAATTCTCGCGCGCTGATTGGTTGATTAGAATGTGTCAATAAGAGGACATGCGCACTGTGCTGACACCATCACGTCTCGCGCGCACTCATTTGAAAGAAAAGAATTATTTTCGCTAATTTTTAGACTGAAAATGTGGTAAAAAACAAATTACACACGTTTTTTCGTTGTATGTCCTCTTGTTTACACACTCTTGACGTCATAAAATGTTCAAAACTTTACAGTGAGCCCACTCGCTGCTCTCGTGGTTCCACTTGAGTTTTGAACATTTTATGACGTCAAGAGTGTGTTAATAAGAGGACATACAACTCAAAACCGTGCGCAATTTGTTAAAGATATTTTATTGTTCACGAGAAGACGTAGTTATTCACTAAATCTGCTAGGGAATCCGATATCTTCTGATGTGTTCGTTATAAGATATTCGGATTTCAATGTAATTGTGTGGTGTATAACTTTTTTGTTGTTTGCCATCTCGTATACATATTTCATTCATTTTTCACGGATGTTTCCAATTGAACGGTCAGTTTTGAGGCAAAAATATTTCCCACAAAGTCACAATATAATAAAACTAAAAATACTATCTATTTTGACAGTATTATGAACAGAGTAAAATAGTAATCAAAATATATATCCAGCTCTAGTATGGACTATCACAAATCCAACTACTGAACAGTAGTTTCTAGACCATGTTCCTCGTCGCATGAGGCGAAGATAATTGAAAAAATTGAAAACGTCGAGAAAATGTTCTTTATAGTCCTCTTTTTTCAAATTTGCCCTAAAGTTTGTTGGTTACCGAAACAATTAGACCACTTGGTTGGCTGAGTACGGACTCGACCTTGTGACCTCATTGTTAAATATTCCAACTTCCAATACTAATGATAGTGATAATTAAAGTGGATAATGCTGAATAAAATTGTTCAATTATAATATAGAGCTCCATTAAATAGTATTTTTCTAGTAATACTTTTTATCGTATAATCATTATTATGCAATACCTATATTAGTCTCCATTTCGTAAAGTAACACATTCGCGGTTTCTCCATGTAATGAAAGTGAGAAAAAAGGTATTCTACGACATAATTTCCTTTCATGTAATTATATGATACACACAATATTACATGGTCGCTTGGAGATACGAATTTTATCTTATCGTGTTGAAAATCTCTTAGATACGCCCACTCGTGAGATCTTCCTAACACTCGAAGATAAAATCCGTATCTCCGCGCGCCCATATGATATCCTCTATATATCTCTTTACGGCATAAGGCGAAATACTTCATAAGGGACACTAAAAACCTATTATTATAAAGGTGTGGCATTCCATTAAAAACGTATTATACTCTCAACGCTATACTGCATTAAGAGAAGTATTCATAATTGACTTTTCTTGGCATGTCATCTCAAGTGCCGATTCGCATGCTGCTTTGTTRGAGTTACCCCACCTGCTCTGTTAGAACACCCTAACTATAGTGAAACAACAGGAACTTTCACTGTCAATGCGCTACGCTGAAACATGGCAGAGGTGTGTTGTGAAGTCTTTAATATGACATTTCTAACACAGTACAATAGTCCCGGTGTAATAGCATCTATCTACGTCGTGTATACCGCATTTGGAATCGTTGGAACCTTTCTGAATTTCCTTATCATATACACTATATGGAAGATTCCTTCATTACATAAGCCTTCCTATGTGTTACTGGCTAGTCTTGCTCTTAGTGATTTGGTGGCTGGGCTTGTTGTGGACCCGTTATACGCTGTAACCAATGTGACTGCATTGGAAAGGAGATTTAGAGTSTTTTGCGAGACATACATTGCGGGTCGATTGATAGGTTATTGTCTTGGAGCGGTATCGCTTTTTAGTCTTACAGTTATTAGCATCGATCGACTTCTTGCTATCAAGTTGAAAAAGAAATATCGAACAGCGGTGACCTTAAAGARGGTTACAATAATTCTTATTCTTGGATGGGTTGCATCAAGTMTYTCATTYCTTGTGATTGCTGTCAAACTTTCTTCTATTTCTCTTCGGATGCTAATAATAATAGCACTAATTGCCATTTTCATGATGYTGGCACCTATCACCGTGGCGTACACAATGGCATTTTATTTCCTAAACCACCTCACTAAAGTATCACCAAGCAATGTACCAAATATTAGACAAGAACAGACTAGCACKTTCAATGCATCCAAATATCGAAGATCACTGAAAACAATGGTAATTGTCTTCTTGACGATAATTGTATGTTATTCGAGTATATTCTGGTGCTCCTTGGCGGCCTTATTACTACTGAGAAAATACCCTAACAATTCAATAGTTTACAAAAATATTTATATTATATTGACAACTGGTGAAACTATTGTACTCTTCAACTCGACAATAAATCCTTTAATTTATCTTTGGCGAATGAAAGACCTTTATGACGGAGTGAAGAAAGTTATTAAGGGGTTATATAGATGTACTGGGCCAGGACTTGTCAAAGAAATTCAACTTGCCGAAACAAAAAGGCCATCAGAAAATACATTTTCAAATACTTGACTGAATTATTTGTTGAAGAAGCTGGGAAGAATTCAGGAAAATAATGTCTTCCATAAAAAATTAATAAAGATAAACGAATTTGAAAACCAAGAAGTTGCGAAATAAGCAATAACTTTAACATATTCATGAAACTGTAATCGCGAACTCATTCAGCAGGCAATGGTSGTTGTGTAGGCGAACAGTGGGGTACATTCATATCAGTGATGWCGAACTCCGGGAGATTTGTAATAACTACCTTAGTGTGATCTGAAAATAATGGRAAAACGATTCTCCAGGTAATTTAAAAATATCAAACACTGCAGATGTGAATTCTTAAAAAAATGATGAGAGCTTAATTTCCATATTATGTATTTTCACAAGAACAAGCGTGAAGTAAAGCATGAAATCACAAATAGGTGTAGCTACGATATCAAAAAAAGATATTGGAGAGAACTTATTTAGTCAAAAACGTGGACAAATAATGCTTACATTATCATATCTGATCAAAGACCGCGGATTTAACATGTACAAAATGGTCCATATACAGCAATATGAAGAAATTATTGTCATTTTGACTCATATTCCAAGTAAATATAAAATATATAAGAAATCATCGGATATCATCGCCAATATTATATATTTTTGAAAGTGCTAGTGATAGACAACTTCAAAAATTATATTCGTGATAATATCCCATAATTTCTGATATATTTTATATATACTTGGAATATGAGTCAAAATGATCATAATTTCTCCATATTGCTGTATACTACCCGCGTATTATATATCACCTGGAGAACAACTCCATTAAATTAACCAGACATAGACGTAGTTTGTACAAAATAGTTTTATTTCTTTCCCTCTCAGTGTTAAATTTCAAGCAGACTTCTCTACAAAGCCTTTAAAAGGCAATACACTAAACCAGTCTGGCTATATGTATAAAATAGTTTGTACAGCCATACTTACGAAACGGTTCGATCAAAAGAACTATGCCTAGGGATTTCAGTTCAGAAATAAATAAAATGCCTACAAAAATACTTCCCTGGATTGAAAATTGCTTGATTTACTGGGTAAAATTAAGAAGACGGCTCATTTCAAACGGTGTTGTTACGGAAAGAGTACACAAAACGACCGCAAGTAGACCTGGGAAATGGGCATTGGTTATGGAGAGGGCACTCATATATGTATATATATTAACTGTGCAGCGAGTAATTATTATTATTAATGGTTTCCTAAAGTGGCTCAAATAACTGCAAACCTCCTGCAATTGTGTACTCTTAAAGTAAAAACAATTTGTCTGAAAAGAGCATATTTTTAATGCACTTCAAAAAATTTCTTTAGGCGATGGAAAGGATTGTTTTTGCCTCGATAAAATGCATTAGTTTATCCGTGTAAGGTTTTTTCATAAACTGATGGAGTCTTCTTAATATAAATGACCAGGACTAATCTTCAAATTCTACAAGTATTTCATAATGTTTAAATTAATATAAAAATATCTAGCATTTGGAAACTGTATTCCCAAATACTTTACAACCAAAAAAATAATGGACTCAAAGCGTAATCTAAAGCCCCCGGTAGTTCCTAAATTTGAAATAATATCTAGGGTTATTTTTTTTTGTTTTCTCTGGCTTGTTGTTTTTATCTAAACCAATCGTTTCAATAGAAAAGAAGTGTTATGGTGCATAAACCTCGGTTTAGGCGCAATATTGTCTCAAATTACATGTCATTGAGTTAGAAAGAGTATCATTCATCAAAAGGTTCATCTTTAAAGATACGAGCTTGTATAACCAATTGGACAACGTTGTCGTCTCAAAACAGGATAAACGATTGGATTTACGACCAAAGGGGAGAAAGGAAATGCCAATAATAAAGATAGATGCTTTTAACTGTGATTCGATTCCGGCTCACGATCTTCAATAAATGATCATCCCTTCTCTACAAGAAATTTTAATGCAGACATCTTGGCCGGTTGTACAGGAAGAGTTGATCCAATTGATCGTCCAATAAAATTCTTCCTTAACCCGTAGAATACACTATGAAATACACAAATCGCTATTCTGCACCTTTTGTTTTGCTTTTGCTACTTTATCCCTTATTATTTCACACTGATGACTCTTGTTTCACGGGTTAATGACAATCACTCTACAACCCAATGGATAATGTCTATTCCGAGGACTGGGCTGTACACCCTCTGTACAAACGACCACTGTTGAAATCAAATTTCTAACTACCTAAAATTTCCTTTAAAAATAGCTTTGATTTGATGTAAGCCGACAGCATTTTTCACTGTAAGCTATACATAACTTTTTCATAGGAATCAAAATGAAATATTGCGCCCAAACCGATGAGATTTTGCGGAATGTTTTCTACATCAAATGCGCCAACACGACCGCAATATCTTACATGAAGACACATTTCGGTCGTATGGTCGCTATAGTGGTGACTGCTTGGCTGAAACTCAAAAGATAAATAAACTAGCTACTACTAAATACAATTTCAATGTGAATATCTTTATCATCAAATTGGGTTGTTTGAGCCAAGTAGTCACKTTYTGACGACWAGTCAAATACATGTGATTTTTTATGATACAATGGAGGTTTTACGCCAGTATAATCAACCTTATAAGGAGCTCAGCAGGATCAATGTGGTGTGGTGCTTAGACAGCTAGAAGCCTTTTATTTACATTATAAGTGAAGACTGCTTTATATTCGATTTCCAGCTGACTCAACTAAAAAAAATCACACACAAAAATCATCCAAATTCGGGAAAGGCCTATAGAAGAGCATAGTTTCACACTCTGAATCTATTATTTTCTTTTGCTCTTTACAAACAAATACCAACTAAGACTCCGTTTACATGAGATAGGGTGCCCATAGGGGTAGGGCCAAACTCCTTTGTTTTAAATTCTCCAGGGAAAAGAAAGCAAAAGAGTTGGCCCTACCACGTAAGGGCACCCTATCTCATGTAAACAGTGTCTAAATAGTTATTTTCATGGAACGGACGAATAAAAACGACTCTTTAAGCGTTCAAGCACTGGTTGAAAAAGGTTTATCAAATATAAAACCGTCCACTTCAAGAAACAAGTATTAAATAATGGTTCTGTAATAATTTAGATTGAGTCTTGATGAGCTATAATAAAGTTGACTTTACTGGATGAACCAATTAAAATAATTAATCGTTCGTAATGTACAATATATAGCGGTTTACACCGATTTCAAAAACATTGTCGTCAAAAAAGTTAAGCACAGCAATAATCTCCTAAGGTGATCTGGGAAGTGTCAATTCATCGTGCGTTCCTTAAATAGATTATTTAAGTCTGATTAAACATCTGAGAAAATYCATGCCATTATTATTACTGGACTGGCAAATGCCTTAACGYTAACACCTCCCACGATTCCTTTGRGTCTTACTGCGTAGATTTGGGACAACAAATATTTTTAAAAAGGTGTAAAATTTAAGCTTTTCTATTTTGGTCAATTTAGTGATAATATACCATATATCATCTTGATGACCTTACAAATTGTTTCATAGCAAAAAGTAATAAATTGAATTTTGAAATATTGACAATTCTTTTTTTTTATGAAGCTAAATGCTTTTTTCAAATTTGTTATAAAATTGTATTAATTGCTGAAAAATTTAATTCATTTTTGGATATTAAAATGTGTCCCTTTGAATGGGCTTCGCGATATTATGAATGCAAAATATTGCTGTTGATATACATTAGACTATTAAATTACTAAATTCTATTTCTCTATTAAATCTATGTTCTACAAAACTACAACACTAGATATTATTTACGTATTCTACTTTGAAAGCAGTGTAATGTGCAAAGATTTCTTTCTCGATAATGATGAATAAAACAACAGCATGACCAAACATAGCTACATGATCACTGACGACCGATTTCCATAGATAAGAAAGACCTTTGATTAAATTATACAGAAGATCGCACAAACAAACAAACACGCAAGCACAGAAAACACTAAGACTAATACCAACAACCAAAAATAACAACAACCACCGACCAATAAATCAATCAAAAAAATTCTTAGAATTTTTTTTCAAAAAGCAAAACAAAAATAACTTAAAACAACTCAAGACAAAAAGAAAAGTAGTTTCTCTTTACTATGGTTGTCAGTTAACGTTATGTGACCAACGGAGTTTTATAAAACTGTTGCTCTTATTCATACTTCGGACAAAATTTAAACGAATTCTATTAATAAAAATGGGCACAATAAAAAAAATATAAAGTGGCGTGATTATATATTACTATGAAGCCAAAATAAATAAACAATTGATGCTATTATCAATAGCGAAGTTGCCATCAATTGTTATAAAATATGCTGTACTATAATGGCAAATAAAACCCATGCCTTTGTCCTACCAAATATTTTCAAATTATTTCCATTGAATCCTTTACCGATCCAAGATGAAGTCTTGCCTGAATTTTGAGGCTCCGAAACGTTAGCGATCTCCCTTTGCTGAGCTTGGATCCAACTGATATTGCACATTGCACGGCTATATGTCGTTCACAAGCGCATTTGTAATTGGAACCAACGAATCGTAGTCGGACCAAGAGGTTTGTCGAACAATCAAATGTTCGTAATAAACATATACATCCATTCTATAAAACTGTGTTCCAATCTAGTATAAAACCATTACCAAACCAATATCATTTTCGTTAAATTCACGAAGAAGACAAGTTCCAATAAAGCTTCCAAGAATTCGACTAAGATCAAAGGTCTGTTATAACAATACAATTATCTGGCATACTTTTTAGACCTTCTCTCCAAAAATGAGACGGTYTGTCACTATCCGAATCGTCGTCACTCTTCAACACCGAAGTTTCTGAATCTGCCTTTTCTCCTTCTTCGTCCGAACTTAAAGTTGCCTCAAGCTCGTTTAAAAGTCTTTCAGCAGCTTCGTTTAACCGTTCGGTCGAAACATCAAAAGCCTCAGCAATTTCCTGCTCTACAACACGGACCATAGTATCATCATCGTCCAGTCCCTCCTCGACTAACGCTCTCCCTACAGCTTCATAAGCACTGGAAGACTTTTCCCTGTTAAGATTGTCTTGCTGTAGTTCTTGAGAAGGAGTTCGAGGAGATAGTATCTCGCTTTTGCTACGCTCGCGAGTTTCGAGCGAAGTGTCTGTATTTACGTTTCCATTTGCGGTTACAGTCAAAGGAAAACTTCTTGCACCTGGAAGTTTAATTTCGCGCATTTTTAGTTGGGAATGAAAGTGAATCAGGGGAAGTGCGTACGAGATTCGTAGAAGCCCAACAAATCCAGCGTTACATGACCATAATGGGTGTACAACAACGCGTGCAAATGTGGAACAGAAGACAGCTACGGAAAATGTTTTGAGCTGTCAAATACCATTAATGAGGTGACCGAGACGTAGCGAGAGCTAAAGCTTCATCATTTAGCTTCATATTATCAAGCCATTTAATCTCCCTTCTTCTACGTTCACTCTAATGAGTTGCATTAAAATTATGAACACTTACTGTGACCACCCTTCTGGGGATTAATATTTGCAGAGTTTTAGCTTGTTATAAGTTGATGAATTGTTATATTGAGTAAAGATTGCTGAAATATTGTGTGTTTAAAAGGGATAAAACAGACCTTTTAGAGGTTGATGTTCTGGAACGAATAATCGCTTATCTTCTGAGTCACTGTCATCACTATGGAGAGGCACCAGTACTTGTCTCTCACGTGGCGCCTAGAATAATCAATACAGTTCATATATTTGGGAATATACATATTATAACAGTCATTATCATATTATTATTATTGTACACTATAAGGAATACTGGTTCATAAATTGAAGTGCATATGAAACGAAGCATTTAGAGAAGAAAAATATATGTCTCTCCTCGCTGGGAACGAGCCAAATAATAACCTATCGAGGCTGTATAAAGTTTCGCTTAGCCATCTTCGAAATAGAAAGAGTTTGAGTCATATGCACTTTAGGATAGGAACAAAAGATGTTTGTACTGAATCTAAACTACAATGCAATGTGATGGCTYAGATGAAAGTGATGTGAATGAAATTGCTATGTTGGTTTGAATTGCTGCTACTTCAGATTGCAGTCAAAGTGTTTTATTCGGATTCGTTTTCCTAGTCCTYCTAATTGACAAAGACCGAAACTGGAATATCTTTATATTATTCTACATTTTTTATGCTTTCTTGAAAATAAGAAACAAGCAGGAAGACATGCAGAGAGATAAAACAACAAGACTAACGAACCTTTTGAACACTCAGTGTTGCCGGCAAAGATATCTTTCTTGTAGTCTCCGGGGTATTGTTGTTACTCTTTTTGATGAACGCTGAAAGACGAACTGAACCAGGACGACGAAAACTAAAAATAGGAAAATGTAGTCAACAATTCGTCCTAATTACGGAGACCTGTATTTCACGAAACGGTCTTTTCTCGAAAGCGACTCCATCGTTCTCACTAGAACACATACCTGTTGGGTCTACTATGTCGTGGTGAGGGTGTCACGGCATTTTTCAGACTTTCCCAGAACCGCTTATGCTACGACAAACGATCAAAATAAACCATATGAAAAAACAAGATATAATATACGTTCTAGACCAAATCATCACGGCTTACGATAAATACTATATTCCAACGTCCGGCATTAGTACCGAATACTTCAATATATAAAACTTTAATTTTTAAATCCCTAGCGAAAAATCTATATTCTTCACACGTTAAGATCACACTTCAACATATTTTTTGAAATAAATGTAGACAAAGAAATTATGCGTTATTTTGTTTTATCCAGTCCTCTTCTCGTTTAGAACATCGCAAATAGGCAACGTGTGCCGACGCCATTTTCCAAAACAAAGCATGAACGGAGGTGAAGTCGTCGCAAGTTTTCATATCCGTTGAAAACCTAAGCCGTTATTCCTTTTTCTTTGCAGAAATTGTTACGTTTCTACAAAGAAAACATAAAAGCGGCCTTTAGGAGATATTTAAGAGCCCATAAAAAGTGCAAGGACCACAACTCCCATCTTGATTTGTAGTATAAAATGGCTGCACATTGCCTATTTATTATTGATGGCGGCAATGGATGTCTATGCATTTGTCTGCGTTAAGATCTTGAATTGTGGTTTGTCCATGTTTTCAATAAGGATGAGTGGATGTTAACCTTCAAATCTTGAATACCAATAATGACTTTCCCTCCGACCATCTTTCGTGAAATAGCTATAAACATGATTCAGCATCATTTNAAGAAGAACAAGAAGAACAAGAAGAACAAGAAGAACAAGAAGAACAAGAAGAACAAGAAGAACAAGAAGAACAAGAAGAACAAGAAGAACAAGAAGAACAAGAAGAACAAGAAGAACAAGAAGAACAAGAAGAACAAGAAGAACAAGAAGAACAAGAAGAACAAGAAGAACAAGAACAAGAGAAAAGAAACACTCAGCTTGCCAGATTCTAAAACTGTTTTGTTCCTATAATTATACCTGATTTTTGTCCAACTCACAGTCTTCATACTCTGCTTCACCCTCGTTCTGGAACGTAACGATGACAAAGCCAACGAATATATTAACCATGAAGAAGGCGATGATGATGATGTAGATGACATAATACACAGCGACCCATGGACGGTTGTTTAGAAACGGACCTTGGTCAACATCTGTTGAATCCATCGAATTTTCTAGAATCCTATATATGAAATCTTAATTATCGTCATGCAATTTATCGCTAAGAGTAAACAAATGAAAGAACCAATGAACAATTCCCCATCCACCAATCCTATAAAAACGATGACAAAAGCAACAGCAGCAACAACAGCAGCATTAACAACAAAAACAACAACAACAAAAGCGACAGTGATATAAAAGCAATAACCAAACAAATTGGAGCAATAACTTACCCTGGCCATCCCTCAAATGTCATTACTGTGAATAGCGTCAGCATTGCATTTAGAACATTGTCAAAGTTGAAATCACGATGCTTCCATTCTCTTTGTTGGGTCTAAAAAAAACAAATAATGACACTTGATAGGTATTTCTTACATTCAATCACGTGGCTTCCATATTTAAACAAGTGTGTGTTTGAGTAGTCTCTCACAGCCGTAACTTCCAGTGCAGGAAACGCGGCAAAAGGAAAATCTGTGGGACAATCCTTTGAAAGGAGGTTGTAGTGGAAGTAACTCGCAGCGTCGAATTGTATTGACATAAGTAATCAAAATATTCGATGTGGATAATTGTTCCATACAGGAACCAGAAGAAATGAATTATTTTTCACCATTACTGGTACATACCACAGGATTGCTGAGTCCAGGTCCTTTGAACTCGAGGTACTGCCCTTGRCATTCYTCTTGGGTAATCTTACCACCATCGGTACAATGGAAAAACGTTCCCTGTTACCACAAATACAAGAATGTATGAWAACAATTGAGTCAAACAAAAAAGTAGCTCTTATCAYATTGGTCCGCTTAAATAACATTACTATGAGATGAAATTTTCGTCTAGAACAAAAAATGCGTCTCGGAAAACTTATCAAGACGGAACGATCTAGTAATTTTTGAAAGGAAAATTTACTATTGACGTAATATNAAGAACAAGAAGAACAAGAAGAACAAGAAGAACAAGAAGAACAAGAAGAACAAGAAGAACAAGAAGAACAAGAAGAACAAGAAGAACAAGAAGAACAAGAAGAACAAGAAGAACAAGAAGAACAAGAAGAACAAGAAGAACAAGAAGAACAAGAAGAACAAGAAGAACAAGAAGGACAAGAAGAACAAGAAGAACAAGAAGAACAAGAAGAACAAGAAGAACAAGAAGAACAAGAACAAGAGAAAAGAAACACTCAGCTTGCCAGATTCTAAAACTGTTTTGTTCCTATAATTATACCTGATTTTTGTCCAACTCACAGTCTTCATACTCTGCTTCACCCTCGTTCTGGAACGTAACGATGACAAAGCCAACGAATATATTAACCATGAAGAAGGCGATGATGATGATGTAGATGACATAATACACAGCGACCCATGGACGGTTGTTTAGAAACGGACCTTGGTCAACATCTGTTGAATCCATCGAATTTTCTAGAATCCTATATATGAAATCTTAATTATCGTCATGCAATTTATCGCTAAGAGTAAACAAATGAAAGAACCAATGAACAATTCCCCATCCACCAATCCTATAAAAACGATGACAAAAGCAACAGCAGCAACAACAGCAGCATTAACAACAAAAACAACAACAACAAAAGCGACAGTGATATAAAAGCAATAACCAAACAAATTGGAGCAATAACTTACCCTGGCCATCCCTCAAATGTCATTACTGTGAATAGCGTCAGCATTGCATTTAGAACATTGTCAAAGTTGAAATCACGATGCTTCCATTCTCTTTGTTGGGTCTAAAAAAAACAAATAATGACACTTGATAGGTATTTCTTACATTCAATCACGTGGCTTCCATATTTAAACAAGTGTGTGTTTGAGTAGTCTCTCACAGCCGTAACTTCCAGTGCAGGAAACGCGGCAAAAGGAAAATCTGTGGGACAATCCTTTGAAAGGAGGTTGTAGTGGAAGTAACTCGCAGCGTCGAATTGTATTGACATAAGTAATCAAAATATTCGATGTGGATAATTGTTCCATACAGGAACCAGAAGAAATGAATTATTTTTCACCATTACTGGTACATACCACAGGATTGCTGAGTCCAGGTCCTTTGAACTCGAGGTACTGCCCTTGRCATTCYTCTTGGGTAATCTTACCACCATCGGTACAATGGAAAAACGTTCCCTGTTACCACAAATACAAGAATGTATGAWAACAATTGAGTCAAACAAAAAAGTAGCTCTTATCAYATTGGTCCGCTTAAATAACATTACTATGAGATGAAATTTTCGTCTAGAACAAAAAATGCGTCTCGGAAAACTTATCAAGACGGAACGATCTAGTAATTTTTGAAAGGAAAATTTACTATTGACGTAATATCAGAACTTACAAGTAAATGAGGACACTATTTTTATTTTTGTGTTCGTAATTAGGAGAAGGACTTTTTCATTTATAGTACCTTGAAGAGCTGGACACCTATGACAGCAAATAGGAAGTTGAAGAGAACTGTAACAATCATGATATTGCCAATAGTCTTGACAGCTACAAACACACACTGGACTACATGCTGCAAACCAACAAACACTGAAGTTAGTTAACAAGAAAAAGGAACAAATTTTTTCGACTTTTTTCTCGACTATATTTGCTTTTCTCGATACGATCATGGTCTATCCTGAAGAGTCCATAGTTCAGTGACCAATTAAAATGCTGGATTTTGGTGGGAATCTAAAGTAAGATATGACAACTTAGTCCGTTTAAGATTAACTCATTAAGGCCGATTTAGACGACACAACTTTTCCCTACAACTATCGCATGCGACCTGCGTGATGCTATTAAGCAATTGTTTAAAATCCCTACGACAGTTGTAGCCATGTCGTAAGGATGACTTACGCAGGTTGCATGCGATGGTTGTAAGCAAAAGTTGTGCCGTCTAAATCAGCGAAGACCAAAAAGGAGTATGAGAAGGCAGATTAATGAGATAGTGCGCAAGAGCTAAGAGACTACTAATTAGAATACATGTTGTTTTCCATGCCCCCTCAATCTGATCAAAGTGAACTAACCTTCAGGCCTTTAGCTCTGTTAATGGCTCTTAAAGGACGCAAAACCCTTAGMACCCTGAGAATTCTGACGGTGGAGATCTGTGATGACTTTGAACCTCTGTAAGCAAAAATAATCGTCAGTGACACGTATACTCTTAAAACCTCAACTGGTATTGACCTTAGACAGTACATGGCAATGTCACTGGAACAGAACGACCGGTTGCAACGGAGGTTTGTGAGTTCGACACGCAGTCTATGTGTTGATACACAAGGTTTCTTGTGATTGGAGGAATAAACAATTCTCATTGTTTCCTGGTTCTTAAATCCTATTGTTTTCTTTTATTTAACAAATAGGCAGTCAACCAATCGGATATGAACTTACAAAACCGTGAAGKGGTTCGTCGTTCTATAATATTTCCTATATATTCTATTACAACAGGGACTGGCCATTTGATTCATTTTGTTATGGAATATCATCATATTATATAGTAATATACCTCAAAGCAATGGAAATAATAGAAACAGCTACAACTAGGGCATCGAGAAGATTGAATGCGCTACGACAAAAAGATCCTTTATGTAGAAACACACCATACGCGATGATCTGGAGAAGAAAGATAAGACATATAATGAAAAATAAARWTAATRATTATTGACTTWGTTKTTKTWWWTWWAAWAAA